ATATATTTATATTAGGGAGTATCTAATGTATTAGATTACCATACTCTCCCTCAAATTCCCCTTAGTTTTAGCTGTCTCTCCCCATATTTCCTCCCTCAACCCCCTCCAATGATCCCCACCACTTGAACCTTCCATTCCAGCCCTGCATCCTTCCATAATTATCTACTACATTTCCTTTACTAATGAGAGCACTCTGTTCCCTCTAGTCCCTTGCTCTATTCCTATCCTCTGTGGATCCACAGATTGTAGCTTGGTTATCATTGACTTAACAGCTAATGTTCATGTATAAGCAAATATATACAATATTTGCCTTCCAGTATCTAGGATACCACACTCGGGATAATTTTTTTTTCTACTTTCATTCGTTTGCCTGCAAATTCCAGGGTGTCATATCTTTGAACAACTGAGTAATAATCTATTTTGTAACTGTACCAGTTTCTTTATCCATTTGTGTTTTGAGGGACGTCTGGGTTGTTTCCAACTTCTGACTATTATGACTGGAGAGCAGCAGTGAAGATGGTTGAGCAAGTGTGTCTGTGGTAGGATGAAGCTTCTTTTGGGCACATGCCCAGGAATGGTATTGCTGAATCTTGAGGTAGATCTATTGCCAGCTTCCCGAGGATCTGCTACACTGATTTTCTAGTGGTTGTACAAGTTTGCACTCCCACCAGCAACGGATGAGTGTCCCTCTTACTTCACATCCTCTCCAGCATGAGCTGTCGCTTGTTTTGTTGATTTAGTTTCCTCTATTGAAAATTATCTGTTTAGATCTGTACCCCATTTTTAATAGGGTTGTTTGTTTTCTTGATATCTAGTTTCTTGAGTTATGTAAATATTTCGAATATTAACTCCCCATCAGATGTGGAGTTGGTAAAAAAAAAATTGTCCCATTTTCCAGGTTGCCACTGTGTATGACTGATGGTGTCCCTTGATTTAAAGAAGCTTTTCAGTTTCAGGAGGTCCTTTTTTATTAATTGTTGATCTTAGTCCCTGTGCTGATGGGGTTCTCTCCAAAAATGTCTTTACCTGTACTAATGAGTTCAAAGCTATTTGCCACTTTCTCTTCTATCAGCTTCAATGCATCTGATTTTAGGTTGAGATCTTTGATTCACTGGGAGTTAAGTTTCATTCAGAATGATAATCACGGACCTATTCGCATTCTTTACTTGCAACCATCCAGTTTGGCCAGCACTATTTTCTGGAGATGCTGTGTTTTTCCAGTGTGCACTTCTGCCCTCTTTGTCAGAAACCAGGTGTCCATAGGTGTGTGGACTTATGCCTGGGTCATCAATTCAATTCTATTGACCAACATGTCTTTTTTGTGCCAATACCATGCTTATTTCTTACTATGGCTCTGCAGTGCTACTTGAAGTCAGGAATGGTGATAGCACCAGCTGTTCTTTTATTATTCAGGATTGTTTTAGCTATCTTCAGTTTTTTTAAGTTAATCAATCAATTATTTTTCCCAGTATGATCACAAGATCCCTCCCTCTCTTTCTCCTCCCAGTCCTTCCTCCTAACCTCTCCCTTTCCCCATCCACTCCCTCTCCCTTCCCTTCAAAAGAGTGAAGATCTTCCTTGTATATCAGTTAGCCATAGGATATCAAGTTGCAGCAAGAGTAGGTGCCTCCTCTCCTAACTAAGGCTGGACTAGGCAACCCAGCAGGTGATAAGGGTCCTAAGAGCAGGCAACAGAGTCAAAGGGAGCCCCCACTCCCTCTGCCAGGAGTTGCACTAGAAAACCAAGCCACAGACCCACAACACACGTGCAGAGGGCCCAGGTTAGCCCCATGGTTATCTTGAGGATTTTGTATGTGTTTGTGTGTTTCCATATGAGGCTGGAAGTTGCCCTTTTCAAGTTCTGTGAAGAATTGCCTCAGAATTTTGGAGGAAGGTACACTGAATCTACAGACTTCTTTTCATAGAATGATCATGTCTATTAAGTTAATCCTATTAAACCATGGTCTTTCTATCTTTTGATATGTTCTTCAGTTTCTTTCTTCAGTGACTTGAGGTTTTTAATCATACAAGTCTTTCACTTGCTTGATTAGAGTTGCTTTAAGAGATTTTAAATTATTTGAAACTATTGAGAAAGATATTTCCTTGATTTCTTTTTTAAATATTTATTTATTTAATTTATTTATTTATTATGTATACAATATTCTGTCTGTGTGTATGCCTGTACGCCAGAAGAGGAGACCCCATTACAGATGGTTGTGAGCCACCATGTGGTTGCCGGGAATTGAACTCAGTACCTTTGGAAGAGCAGGCAATGCTCTTACCCTCTGAGCCATCTCTCCAGCCCATCCTTGATTTCTTTCCCAGTCCAATTGTACTTTGCATAAAGGAGAGCGACTGATTTTTGTGAGTTAATTTTATGTTTTGTTACTTTGCTGAAAGTGTTTATCAGCTATAGGAGTTTCCTGGTATGATTTTTCAGGTCGCTTATATATACTATCATATCATCATCATCTATAAGTACTTAGGCTCCTTCCTTTTCAATTTATATCTCCTTGATTTCCTTAAGTTGTCTTATTGCTCTAGCTTAGAATTCAGGTATTATATTAAATATGTAAGGAGACAGTGGACAACCTTGCCTTGTTTCTGATGTTAGTGGAACTGTTTTGATTTTTCACTTCATTTAAGTTGACATTGGCTATGGACTTGCTGTAAACTGCCTTTATTATTTTGAGGTGTGTTCCTCAGGACTTTTATCACAAAGGGTGAAACACGATTAAGAAAAACTCAGAGACAGAAAGTGGGGTTCAACCTGAGGATCAGAAAAGCAAATCACCCAGCCACTGGCTCTTACCTCTACCTCAGTCCAAAATGTCCATCCTGCCTCCAAGAATCTCAGAATGAGACTGAGACTGAGGGCTGTCTCCTTCCGTTTTATATTCCTCTCTAGGTCTGGGATTAAAGGTGTGTACCACTGGGATTAAAGGAATGCTCCCTGCATAATTCTTGTACTGTTGCTCTCCAACATGTCTGGATGTGGGCAGATGGACTCCCAAGTGAGCACAGTAACAAGCTTAGGGGCAGATGGGAATGCCTTATGCTGTGTATTTTGAAAATATTTTTATTTTAAAAAAGGGTATGTTGGACTGATTGTCCTAAAATTTCCTCATAGCCCAGCATGTCCAAAACACAGTCCTCTTGTCTAGGGTCTTGAGATTACAGTGGTGTGCTACTATTCCCTGACTTGGGAAAACTGGTACCAGTTTTTCCTTTATTTGTTGTTTTAAACCAATGGAACATCATCAGCCAAGTGATGACTCTTGCAATGCCCTCTCTGACCAGCAGGAGGCAGGAGAGCAATGAGAATACTCTTATACCTGGCCTCTACAGCTGGGCAGAGGAGTTGTGCTTGATACTTCCACAGGAGCTCCTGCTGTAAACACATCTCTGTGAGGTGTGCACTTCTGCTGATGCACAGAACACTTCGCCAAGGGGTTTTTAGACACTATGTAGCCCTCTTGCCATTGGAAAACTTCATCATCAAATGATTTCTATACAATCAAATTAACCTTTTGCCAGAGTAACTTGGCAAATTTGCATAAGAGGATGAGGTGAACAACAATCCACACTTGAAGGATGAAAATAATTCTTTCACTGGAAAAATTTAGCTCATGATCCTTTATGTTAATCCTTGCCTGGTCTCTGCTCCCTGCCAACCCCTTGACTGCTTTGTGGCTGAACAGTTTGAAAACTCAACAGAATTTTAAAACATAAGGGCCCTGGCTATCCTATCATGGAAAAGAAATCATCTGTGATTGGTTCTTCTGTGAGGTACAAGTTATTCAAGGGTATTGTCCCTTGGTTAACAGTGTGATTCCAGGCGCACCTCAGTGACCCAATTTCGATTACTTTTAGCCAAGCTCTTATAAATATATCAAACATAGGCTTTTGATAGCAATATTTTGTTCCCATTTGGCTAAGGATCTGAGAGCAGAATTGCTGAGTCATATAACACAGGTGTGTTTCACTTTTTTGTTTTGTTTTTGCTTTTATTGTTTTGGGTTTTTTTTTGTTTGGTTTTTTGTTTGCTTGGTTTGTTGTTGTTGTTGTTGGTGGTGGTGGTGGATTTCTCAGGCAGTGTTTCTCTATAGCTTTGGAACCTGTCCTGGAACTAGTTCTTTTACACCAGGCTGACCTCAAACTCACAGATATCTGCCTGCCTCTGCCCCTCAAGTGCTAGGATTAAAGGTGTGCACTAACACCGTCCTGTGTGTTTAACTTTCAATTAAAGTGACAGCCTGTCTTCTATGACTATCATTTTGCATCTCCTCCATACATGTATAAGAGTTTCAGTGATTCCATATCTTTCTGACCACTTGTCCTTATGGCTCCCAAGTCAGATGTTATGGAATGATATGCAGGAGCTTTATTGGAGTTTGAGCCTCAGCTCCCCCCCAACACACACACACACACACACACACACACACACACACACACACACTTGCGCCTGGGCTCTCTCCCCGCTTCTTCCATGAAATGCACCTGAGCGTCTTCATCCCACACACCTGCTGTGGCCTTGGCAATTACCAACACAGGGTCTGGATGAAGGTGCAGAGAGTAACAAAGCCCACGGGCTCCACCCTCCCCCAGCTGTCACAGTCCCTGCTCTGTTGCTGTGGAGGACACCATGACCCCGACACCTTGTAACAGAAAACATTGCATTGTGGGCTTCCTTCCAGTTTCAGAGGATGAGTCCAGGGCCACCTTCCTGGTGGTCTCACTGGCAGTTTTCCACAGGAATACCCTGACATTCACACACACACACACACACACACACTAAATAAACAGGAAAAAATTGAAAGTGTTTTTCAAGTAGATAAAGAACTAGGAAGTCGATTTCAGCAGGAGTTTGCTGAAAGAGGAAACAGATTGTGGAGGCGGAGTGAATGGGGATCTGACTGACAAGTGCCAGAGTTGCAGTGCTTCCGTGAAGCAGCCACAAGCTGTGCAGAAGGGTGCGTGGATCCTAAGATCTCAGGGATGGTCACATTCTGATTCCTCTCCTTCTGGGGTATCTTCAGGATTTACCTGCTCAGATGAGCCCCCGTGGCTTCTCCTCTCTTTGTCCCCTGGCATCTGATCATGGAGAACAGGGACATCCGTCGCAGTTTGAGTTCATTTAACTTTTCATACAGGACTCCTGAGATCACAGAGCTGCTTTGGATGCCATGATAACTCTTTCTAGGAGGTCAAAGAGCAAGAACAAAGATTGCTTTGCCTGCAGGCGGGCCTTCACCTCTTCGACAATAAGGACTTTGGCCCGCCCTGCTGAGTTTCTACTCCTTGACTGTAGGTCCAACGTCCTGACTGCGCAAGGCCCACACATTCTCTTTTCTGTCCATGACACACAGCTATCCTGTAGCAACACGGACTCAGACTAGGAGCCGACCATGAAACTGCAAAGACTTCCTGGCTGGTTGAAGGCTGTGATCTGTGGGCTCCTGCTTCTCTTCCTGCATGTACAAGGTGAGACTCCTTCAGTGAGCACTGAGGACCAGGGTCAGGGCTGCCCAGATCTGCAGAGTGGGCAGCTTGTCTTACAGGAGGGAAGGAACCAACAAGGGAGCAGTTGGTAAAGATGGCAGAAAAAAGGGTGGGAATTATGGACCTCCCAGTGTCCCCACCAAAATCCACACAAAGAGCCCTGCAGCACACAGAGGACTAGAAATGTCCTTACCAAAAAAGCCACTTCAGGATAACAAGGTCTGAGCCGCACTGGACCTGCAGATTAGGGGAAAGAACAAAGAGGACATTTCTTTTCGCTGTGCATGAGTGTAGCTACTACAGACCTCTGGATGATAATGAAAATAATACATCCATGCTGCCAAGTGGCTCTGAGATGTCTCCTTGTTGGTCACACACTGGCACAGCCACCACTCAAAAGGAACATGAGCTGTGTCCCTGGCCATCAGGGCGATAAAGAAACTCCTATCCCCACATCTCATAGCTAAGCCCAGGCACCCCAGATTCCCTTCCCCATGTACCCTAGAGAAAATGAGGTGGAAAACAACAATATCGTGGCAGCTGCCTGAGTAGAACTAACCCTGATGGCATCTCTCCCAGGCCAGGACTCAGCCAGCCCCATCAGGAACACACACACAGGCCAGGTTAGAGGAAACCTCGTCAAGGTGGAAAACACTGAAGTTGGTGTCCACACCTTCCTGGGAATCCCCTTTGCCAAGCCACCTGTAGGACCACTGCGCTTTGCACCCCCTGAGGCCCCTGAACCATGGAGTGGTGTGAGAGATGGGACCTCCTATCCACCCATGTAAGTTCTGGGGTTCAGAGAACTTTCAGGCTCTGAGGTGAGAGTGTGCCCTGAGCTCTGGGCCAGAATGAGGGGCTTCCTTCATCCCAACCCCACAGAAGTTTTCTGTCTGTGATGTGTAGTCTTCCGTGCATTTTCAGATGCATGACTAAGGCTTCTTACAGACAACTTTGCCAATCTCCTGGGTCATAGTCCAGTTCCTGTAGGGTGTTGTCTCTCAGTTTTGCAGTGAGAAAGAGATTTAAAAAAAATTCCAGATTCAGATTGTGCCAAGAGATTTCTGCCACCATGGAACAGATCTAGGGACAAGGGCCAATATAAGCACATTAAACCAGCCAAAGCCCAGGGTCTAGTGCCAAGTCCTGTAAGTCTCTCAGGAGGGCATCAGTGATAGGTCCTTAGCAACTCCATCCTCAGCACTCACTGGGACAATCCATAGAGGCAAGTAACATTGTTCAAAGAAATGTCTAAATGCTTCCTCTGGAAATTACGTGGGAATGAGAACTACCCTAAGTTTCTGAATGTGGGGTGAAACCCATCCCACTACTCTTTGGGACATTGCTGTCCACTGACTCCTTAGGAGCTGTGTAGGCAGAGCACCACATTATCCAAGTATCTTCAGTTTGTTTCTTGTTGCTGGGGTAACATACCTGGTAAAGTCAACTGTAGGCAGAAACAGTTTGTTATGGGTCACAGTTCCACATAACCATCCATTGCAAGGGGAACTTAAAGGACTGAAACATCATCACATCTTTAACATCAGAGGTCAAAGAACGCATCCATACCTGCTAGTGGTCAGTTGCCTTCTCTGTTCCTTCCTAGGGAATGGCGCCACTCAAGGTTGGGGACAGTCCTACCTCTACTCACAGAACCAAGAAAATCCCCATAGGCTTTCCTGATCTAGACAATCCTTCTTTGAGTCTAAATCCCCCAGGTGATGCTCTGTTGTTTCGAGTTGGAAATCAAAACTAACAACCTCAACAGGAATTATGGAGTACAAAGAGAAGTGGTGACTGTCACTGTGTGCCGGAAGTTATTCTCACCGAGCCCCTAGAGTTCTCCATATCCTTGGCTCAGAAAGAAAAACATATGCATGTCCTCACCCAAGTGCAGGCATTTCTGGAAATCTGGTTCTATCCTTGCTAACACTGAGCCTGTAGCCTTTATCTTGGTAGGAAAGGGCTTTAGAGCACACTCATGCTTTAGCAGAACATCTTGAAGGAAAGGGGCCAAAAGTGTCTGAGAGAAAATTCATACAAAAACCCGGTTTTGACTACCAGACATCTCTTAATAACTGTCTGCCATTGTCACCAGGTGTCCACAAAATGATGATAAAATGAATTCAGAGGCTCTGAAGATGGGAAAACACTTCATGCCTCCCATCTCTATGTCTGAGGACTGCCTGTATCTCAACATCTACACACCAGCGCATGCTCGTGAGGGCTCTAACCTGCCTGTGAGAGTTGGGCCACGGTCAACTGGGTGGAGGTGGAGATTTCCTTCTCAGGAGGAATAGAAGGCATAAAACCAACAAGTTCCACTGCAGTGTAGACCCTAATGAGAAGTCTTTTCCTAATGTGTCCATGAGAACCTTCTCAGTCATGGTGGTCAACTAAATCCTGGATATAGGACACTGAGCACTGGAACTCTGAGAGGTCAGGGTTGTGTTCCATGAACTCACTCAGGACATTCTCAACAAAGTTGAGCCTTAGAGCCCAGGCAGGTATCCAAGAAATGAACTCTGAAATAAGTCAAATTTCCAACTTTGGGATATTGGTTGTGCCAATGAGATTTGGTGATGCTTTTGATTCATAATCAGGAACACTGTTGTGGAGACTCCCTTCTCCACATTTTTGAGGAGTCTGAGAGTGATAGTGACATCACTCTGGACTTGAATCCATTAATCCAAACTGAGATTCCTGGTGCAACGGTGGGGCTTAGAAATACGCTGATGAGACTGTGTTCCTCGCCTATGGCTTGGGTCTAAGATGCTGAGGACTCCTGTGTGTGCTTAGCTGCAGAGATAGAAAGCAGACAATAATCTGGGAGATAGTCCCACTTGAACTTGTGCCTGAAAGTATCCTCCTCACATCTCCCTTGACTTCTCCAGGTGATGGTTTGGATCCATGGTGGTGGTCTGGTTGTAGGAATGGCCTCCATGTATGATGGGTCCACACTGGCAGCCATTGAGAATGTGGTGGTGGTCACTATCCAGTACCGTCTGGGTGTCCTGGGCTTCTTCAGGTGAGACTAGGGCTGGTTGGGGCAATGGCAGCTGAGAAGAACCTAGACAGCCCTTTGATTCATGTCCCTTCCACTTCTCAGCACTGGAGACCAGCACGCCAGGGGCAACTGGGGCTACCTGGACCAAGTGGCCGCCCTGCGTTGGGTCCAGCAGAACATCGCCCACTTTGGAGGCAACCCTGACCTTGTCACCATCTTTGGCGAGTCAGCAGGTGGCATAAGTGTGTCTTCACATGTTGTGTCCCCCATGTCCAAAGGACTCTTCCACAGAGCCATCATGGAGAGTGGAGTAGTCATGTTGCCTGGCCTCATCTCCAGCTCCTCTGAGGTGGTTTATGGAGTGAGTGCACTCTATTCCTCCAGACCTGACCTGCTGTCTTAGCTCTCACTCTCTAGGACTCTGCTGCCCCCATCAGTCGGGAAAATGAGGACCATGGGAAGTAACTTCCCTTCAGTACTTTCTGAAAGGCTCAAGGTTTAGATCCCTCACCCCTACTCCATCCCACAGTGCTTTATACAAGGTGCATATGTTGTATGTTCAGCAAAGCTGTACCTAGAAGCTTCCATTATTGGCAAAAGCAAGAGTGTGGGGTATTGGGAGATGGTACAAGAGGCAAGAGAGCTTTCTGTGCCAGTGTGAGGATCTGAGAGCAATTCCCCAGAACACACACATATCTGGGTGTGGTTTTTCTTGTCTCTAATCCAGGAGTTTCTATGGTGAGATGGGAAACAGCGACAGGTTAATCCCTGGAAGGTCACAGACTAGCTAGATTGGTGTAGGCTTCAGCAGAAAAAGAGAGTATTTCTCAAACTAGAAGGAATATGGGAAGAGGAAGAAGGGAAGGAGAGGGGAGTGAGGGAGGAATGGAGGGAGGTAGAAGGGCAGAGAGGGAGAAAAGGTGAGAGGGAGGAGGGGAGAACTGCCACCGCTGACCAAGAGGAAAACAAGAACAATTTTATTCTTACTCCAGTCCACATACATTACACAGCATGGTATAATATTTAGAACCAATGGCGCCCTCCCAGGCCTGGGAAAACTCCTCTGCCTGGAAGACAGGGCATCCAGGCAGCCTCATCCTCTTCCCTTTGCAGACTGTGGCCAATCTCTCTGATTGTGCAGCTGTGGACACGGAGACACTAGTACGCTGCCTACGGGGCAAGAGTGAAGCAGAGATTCTGGCTATTAACAAGGTGCGGCTGGGAAGATGGCAGGTTGCAAGATGTGTTACAGGTAGTCCTCAGTAGTATGAGCAAATTACCTAAGCTCCGTGGCTTAGGATCCTTTGAGTCCTGGGCAAAATCAATACCAGCATCAACTATTCCAAGTTTAAGGGCTCTTCTGAGGTGAGATGGGAGAGGTGTGGTGGAGAATAACTATCCTGAGACCAATTAGCAAGTGGAGAAGGGGTGGAGGTAACTCAGTGGTCTGTAGCATATGTATTTCATCGACCTTCAGCATTGAATTTTAATGCCCCTCAGGTCTTCAAGATCATCCCCGCAGTGGTGGATGGAGAGTTCTTCCCCAGGCACCCTGAGGAGCTCTTGGCCTCTGCTGATTTTCACCCTGTCCCAAGCATCATTGGTGTCAACAATGATGAGTATGGTTGGTTTGTGCCTATGGTAAGGCTCAGTTCTAATCTTCTGGGACCCTGGGGACTCATGCGGTGGGCAATGGGAACTCAGAGATTCGTTGTTCCATATCCATGCCATGGCATACTTAAAACCATTCTCCATACCCCCAGATCATGGGCTCTGCTCAGAAAATGAAGGGAATAACTAGACAATCCCTGCCTGCTGTTCTGAAGAGCACAACAGCACAGATGGTGAGACTCTAGAGACACTGCCACCATTACAAGGACTCCTGTCTAATTTTCATAAGGAGCATCTCCAGAAATAAATTAGTGTATGCGCGCGCAAACACGTGCACAAGTGCACCTACCTGTGTGTGTTTCTCTGTGTATGCCTGTGTGTGTGTGCATCTCTCTGTGTGTAGTTCTGTGTGTGTGTGCCTGTGTGTGTGTACCTCTGTGTGTGTACCTGTGTGTGTATGTCTGTGTGTACCTGTGTGTGTGTGCATTTCTTGTGTGCCTGTGAGTGTGTGTGTGCATGTCTGTATGTACCTGTGTGTGTGTGTGCATGTCTGTATGTACCTGTGTGTGTGTGTTTGTGTATACCTGTCTATCTGAAGTCACTCCAAGCTTTCCCCATACCACACCTCTTTTGCATTTCCCCACTGAGCCTACTGTCTACACATCTTAGTGCCCGTGTCCCCTCATTCTTCTTGATTCCTGTGGTGTAGATGCTGCCTCCCAAGTGTAGTAACCTGATAATGGAAGAGTACATGGGGGACACTGAGGACCCACAGACCCTCCAAGTACAGTACGCAGAGATGATGGGAGACGTCACATTTGTGGTCCCTGCACTCCAAGTAGCACATTTTCAACGTGAGTACATCTGTAACAAGATGGAGGGAAGAAACTCAGACAGTGGGTCCCAGGTGAGCTCTGTAGGGTCCAGGCTTGGCCTGTGTCTGAATAAGATCTCTGGTTCCAGACAACCAAGAGTCTTTTTTATTAATTTATTCTCTCATATATTACATCCCAACCACAGTTTCCACTCCCTCTTCTCCCAGTCTCTCTGTCCCTCCTGCCTCCCCATCCACTCCTCCTCTGTTTCCCTCCAGAAAAGGGCATGCCTCCCAAAGATATCAGCCAAACATAACATTGCAAGTTGCAATAGGACTAGGCAGCTTCCCTCATATTAAGGCTGCATGAAGCCACCCACTGGGAGGGAAAGGGTCCCAAAAGCAGGCAGCAGAGTCAGAGACAGTCCCCACTCCCTCTGTTAGGAGTTCCACTAAAACACCAAGCTATGCCACTGTGGCATATGCAAAGGACCGAGCTGAGACCCACACAGCCTCCCTGATGGTTCAAAACTGAGAGTCTTTGTCGAGTAGATCCTTATGTTGAGTGTGAGAGAATGACATCTGATCCAGTACAGAGGAGGAAGTGACTGAGTGATACTCTGTGGCTTGACCACACTGCTCAGCTGTGGACGGCAGAGCCATTATTTAACAGGGGGAGTTCCCACAGCCACAGCCAATGCTCCATGTTGGAGCTCCACGCTCAACTGTTGTGACTCCAGATAACTTGAAACCAAGCTGTCTTGTCACTAAATGTGTGTCAGGACAGTTCTGGACAAAGATGTCACCCCAGGTCCTCTCCCCCAGGGTCCCACGCTCCTGTCTACTTCTATGAGTTCCAGCATCGGCCCAGCTTCTTCAAGGATATCAAGCCACCCCACGTAAAGGCCGACCATGTTGATGAGGTTCCTTTTGTCTTTGGGTCCTTCTTCTGGGGTGTGAAAAGTGAGTCTTCCTTATTTTCCATGAGTTGAATGAGGTCTCAGATGGCTCTCTGGGGAACTGAGAGTTCAGACTCTCAATTCATTTGAGAAACCTGTATATATATATATATATATATATATATATATATAT